TTTGCCTTGACAAAGAGCAAGATGAACCTCAGGCGGGGAGATGCTAGCACAGGTGCATGGAGGTTAACAATATTTTCTGAAGTGGATGTTGTGACTACGGGATAGGGATCAGATGCTGAAAGAGAAGGCTCGGGTGAGAGAGAGTCAACAAAAGGAGATGGAGAGATTTCAGAGAACTGAGGTAAGGAAGTGGGTGATGCAGCTGGCGGAGAGCACGATCAGTAGTGTGAAGGAAATTAAAATCATCGGAAGCGGAATAAAATGGAGAATCCTTTTCGAACTGAACGTCTCGAGATATATAAACTTGACGAAATGCGTGATCATAACAATGATAACCTCGATGTTCTGAACAAATTCCTAAATAGACACAGAGAACAGCTCTGGGAGATAATTTATCATGTTCGTGAGATGGCAGAAGAACGAAACAGCAATAACAAAAAACGCGGAGTAGATCATAATAGGGAGGATGAGTATAAACACGACTATGAGGAGTAGCACCAAAAAGAGAGCTAGATGGAGTGATATTAATGGCATGAGTAACAGTGAGAATGGCCTCAGCCCAAAACAACGAGGAACAAAGTAAGAAATGAGCATGGATCCAGCGGTATCGAGAATATGATGATATTTGCGTTCAACAATTCCATTTTGCTCATGAGTGTAAAGACATGACTGTTGAAAGATAGTCCCATGAGAGGACATGAAAGAGCTCATGGTAGAGGATAGGTACTCTTTGGCACAGTCAGAACAAAAAACTTTAATACGAGCTTGCTACTGAGTGAAGATCATCGCAGTGAAGGCTTGATAAGAAGCAAGTACGTTAGAGCGATTTTTAAGTAGGTAGACTCATGTATAATGAGAGAAATTATCGATAAAACTAATATAATATAAGTAGCCAGATGAAGAATGCAGAGGAGCTGGCCCCCAGATATCAGAATAGACCAAATCAAATAAGGAAGTGGAAACAGATGTACCGGTTAGAAACGGTAGAGCAGTGAATTTAGGCAATTTACAACCAGTACATGACTCAATGTGAGAATGAGAGGATACAGGACCAAGTACTCCGGACTGGATAAGACTTTTCAGCCTTTTATGAGACACATGACCAAGTCATCTATGCCACAAATTTGCGGAAAGCGAGGTAGAGGATTTTGGACTTACAGAAGCAATAAGAGAATGTGGACGTATGGACTCTGGAAGATAAAGATATTCTAGAAAATACAGTTTATGTCTCCTCCGGCTAGCCCCATCAGTCTTGTCCGTCTGTGGATTCTACACAATACAAGTATCAGAAGAAAATGAGACAAGTAGGCCATCCATACATAAGGAGCTAACAGAAATTAAATTCAAACAAATAGCAATGACCAAAAACTATCAAAGTGAAACCGATGAATAAATTTTACTAAGGAAATAATAAAAATATATAATCATGGTATTTAGTTACGTGTATTATATGTGCATAAAACCTAGTTAAAAGTAAAAAACAACTTGCATATAAAAGTTACAAGCAAAACCAAACAGTGTGTTAGTACAAATTGTAAACTTTACATTGAACCAAGCCATTGCAGCCGTAGTTGCATGGAGTGACAGTTGCACTATTTCAGTTGCATGCAAGTGATAATTGTATGCTTAAATAATTCCCCAAATCACATAAATTTTAAATAAGTCCCCCAAAACCATAAGTTCTCTTATATAAGTTCACTAAATTAAAATTTGTTGACTTAACTATAATTTAACTAAACTATATTAATCTCACTATTTTTTTCATCATCTTTCCAAGATTGTTGTGCAACCAAGACTTTATCAACTAATAGCAAGAAGGTGAAAAATGCAAAGAGACGAGTTTCAAAAAACAAAAATCTACGAAAGAGGAAGCAAAGCATGCGAGATTTATGGAATTTACTTAACTTGGAGTTAATAGTTTTTAATTCGATGTGACTTATTTGAGAGAACTTATAGATATGAAGAACTTATGTAAAAATTGATGAGACGTGAGAGTACTTATATATTTAAAAATCTACTCCTCTATACTTATAGGAGGATTCACTATTCATGCTACAGTAAATTATTGTAGCATTATTGCTGTAGCACAAATAGAATATTGTATCACTTTAAAAATTAATGTAGCAATTACAAAGTATATTGTGACATTTAAAAAAGAATTACTGTAGCAGAAACAAAAAAAGGACGGGTTGTGCTTTGCACGGGATGCACACTAGTATACTTATACGCTGGGATAGAAAAAAAAGAGTATACTTAAAAACCAGGTCAGATTTGGGGATCAAAAAAAAAAAGGAAAAAAGGAAAAAAAAATCCATCATAGAAGCCGAACTCAGAACTAGGGGTGAAAGCACACCAAATATTTAATAAACAATTCGCTTAATATTCGTTCAGATATTAGGTCAAATACGACCCGGCGGTTCATTTAATGGTAAATGAATAATTTTCAGTATTCGACTTATAAACAAATAGAATTTAAATAAATGTATATTCAACTCGGCTGATTATTAACTATTTGATTATTTTTTATATGTTAATCTTATTAATTAAACTTGTTGTATATATTACCCATCAAATTTTTTATTATAACTTCAGCCCGCTGTATAAGTAGTCGTGTTAGAGGGACCTAGGGCTTTCGTCGTCACTGAGTTTCCACTTTCCGCCCTCCTCCAAAACTTATAGCCTGTTTGGATGGAGGGTAGAGAGGGGGAAGGGAAGGAAAATTTTATTTTAATCTTGTTTGGGAGTTTCATTTAGGAGGGTAGAGGAGGGGAATGGAGGGAAAATTTGGCCCAAATTCTTACACCCCTAATTGGGGTGTAATGGAAAGGAAGGTAAGGAAGGGGAATTTTTTCCCTTCCTTCTCTTTCCTAAGCTTGTTTGGATTTGTAAGGGGTGAAGGGAAGTTAAGGGAAACTAGGTGAGAGAATGGAAGGGAAGGGAGTTCCCTTCCCCTTAGTTACACCCCAATTTGAGGGGTAACAAATTTTATACTATTAGGGGGTGAACCAAGGGGAACTATGGTAAATAACTTCACCTCCTAAATGTTCTCAAACAAGATGAATAGAGGTGAATGGTTCCCCTAACTTCCCTTCACACTTATTCCCCTCAATTCAAACAAGCCCTAAGTAAACTCCCAAACACCCCATTAGACAAAATCAAAACCCTGTATAAAGCGTAAAATCTCCTCATCACCCAATCATTTCTGCCCTCTCTCTCTCTCTCTCTGTTCGCGCTGCAGCAAGAAAGAGAAAAAGGCTATTTTTCTCAGCAAAGCTCTCAAGATCTTCGTCTCTCTTTGAGATTACTGATTACTGCTCATCTAACCAATTTCTTTGCAGGGTCTTTGATTATTTAATATTTATTAACCAATTTCTTTGCAGGATCTTACACACCTGTCTCCTCTGAGAAGATGAGGCCGAGAATGAGATCTCGGGCCCCGCTTCGAGAAGTCGGATCCACAGTTTTCATCCCTCCTCTTCGATCCTCTTCTCTTCCGAATCCGCTGTCGAGACAGAGCAGTGTAAGTTTCAGTTTTCATCCCTCCTCTTCGATCCTCTTCTCTTCCGAATCCGCTGTCGAGACAGAGCAGTGTAAGTTTCATCTTTCTTTTCAGTGAATTCTCATTTTCTTCTTCCGAATCCGCTGTCGAGACAGAGCAGTGTAAGTTTCATCTTTCTTTTCAGTGAATTCTCATTTTCTCTGTATTTGGGATTATGGGTTTTGTTTGTTTCGTGTTTTGGAGGGAACTCGTGGGTTTTTAGGATTAACCGCAGGACTTTGTTCAGTTTTATCTGGCATCTTTAGTAGCGAGAGAAATTTAAAGAAAGTAAGGATCTTGAGATCTATTCTTTCATTGTTATTCTCCAAGAACTTATACTTTTCTATAATTGGGTTTATGAGTTTTGTTCCTTTTAATGTTTTTTGGAGGGTTTTTCCCTGAAATTTTAGGATTTTTATCAATAGGGTTTTGTTGGGTTATTGATTAGTTTCAGATATTCTTGAAATTTCCCCTTCTACTATTCTTAGGTAATTAAATTCTTGAACGCTTAAAATATTACGTACTTCAGGAATCTAATCTGTTCATTTCTTGATAAAAATTACAGGCTGACAGATTCATACCAGATCGATCTGCTATGGACTTCGACTACGCCCACTATGCCCTAACACAATCAAGAAAAGAAAAGGGAAACAACTCATCAGCAACTGCATCCCCATCCAAAGAAGCCTACAGAAAACTCCTAGCCGAGACCCTCCTCAACAACCGAACCCGAATCCTAGCCTTCAAGAGCAAACCCCCAACCCCTACTGATGGCTTCTTATCGGGTACAACATCTGACCCGTTAACCTCCTCCTCTCACCTAACCGAAGCGAAACAAAGAAGATACATTTCTCAGACTGCAGAGAGGACATTGGATGCTCCTGATCTTGTTGATGATTATTACCTTAATCTTCTTGATTGGGGAAGTAGCAACGTGCTCTCGATTGCACTTGGAAATACTGTGTATTTGTTGAATGCTTCGAATGGATCGTCATCTAAGCTTGTGACAATTGATGAGGATGTTGGTCCTGTGACTAGTGTTAGCTGGGCTCCTGATGGCCAGCATATTGCTGTGGGGCTTAATAATTCTCATATTCAGTTGTGGGATTCGACCAACAGTCGACTGGTTAGTACTCTTTTCTCTTTGTATTTTGCTTTCGATTAGTCTCGGTAAATTCTTTGAGAATTGGTAGATTTAAGTTGTTGTTGCTCTGCACTTCAAGTTTGCAAAAACGGGTTATTTGAAAAGTTCATTTTGTGAGCCTATCTAATTTTCCAATTAACGAGTAATCGCTTGCATCATCTAGGATTTGGATACTTTGTACTGCAATTAGGTAAATAAGAGATCAGTTTTTTGATCATAACTGTTTATTACTTGTATGATTATAACTTTTACTCGAAGTGGACATAGAATCAGTCATCTACATTTTAGATAATTATGATTTTGTCACTTTTACTCGAAGTGGACATAGAATCAGTCATCTACATTTTAGATAATTATGATTTTGTCAATGTGGTATTAGGAGGTGACTCAAATTTGCAATTTTAGATAATTATGATTTTGTCAATGTGGTATTAGGAGGTGACTCAAATTTGCAATCATATGGATTTGGATTCTGCGGAATCCACTTAGGCCATAGCTAATCTTGATTATCCTGCAATTTCAGGAATGAATCACATTCATCAATATTTTATTTGGTAGTAATGATTGGAAGAAAAATGTTACTGAAAAACAAAACTTGCAATTTATATGTGGATTTGGATTCCCTCCAACTTATTCAATTAAACTTATTTTGATTTATTGCTTCTAGAATAGACTACTGACATCGGAGTATTTTTTTACTGCGATTTCTACATCTAAGAACATTGAAACGAGTCCACAGATCTCGGGTCGGCTCTCTCGCCTGGAACAACAACATCCTAACAACCGGAGGAATGGATGGAAAAATCGTAAACAACGATGTCAGAATCCTATCACACGCTATCCAAACTTACCGAGGACACACCCAGGAAGTCTGCGGCCTTAAATGGTCAGGCTCAGGCCAGCAACTCGCTAGCGGAGGCAATGACAACCTCCTCCATATCTGGGACCTCTCAATGTCATCCTCAACTCCACCTCCAAACCCAAATCAATATGTCCATCGCTTAGAAGATCACATGGCAGCGGTCAAAGCCCTAGCTTGGTGCCCATTTCAAAGCAACTTACTAGCTTCAGGTGGAGGTGGAAGTGATCGATGCATAAAATTTTGGAACACTCGCACTGGGGCTTTGTTTGAATTCGATAAATACTGGGTCTCAGGTTTGCTCGCTGCTTTGGAATAAAAATGAGAGGGAGTTGTTGAGCTCTAATGGGTTTAAAAACCAGTTGATGCTTTGGAAGTATCCTTCGATGGTTAAGATGGCAGAGTTGACTGGGCATACTTCCAGGGTTTTGTTTATGGCTCAGAGTCCTGATGGATGCACTGTCGCTTCGGCAGCTGGAGATGAGACATTGAGATTTTGGAATGTTTTTGAAGCTCCTGAAGTTGCTAAGGGGAACTCAGTACCCTTCAATAGTTACAATCATATTAGGTAAAAAAAAGTTTTCTTAATTCAATTTTTCTTAATTCAAATTTGCTGCATTGTGCAGGGATTGCGCTCAAATTTTGCTTAAGTCTCACTCAGCTGCACCTGAGAGTAAATTGAGAGCAGTGTACAAGAAATATTCGAGCATTGAAGTCGGAAATTTGGCATTGAATCAACCAGCACTGAAGATGTTAGAGGAGTTGAAGGCTTCATCAGCTTCATTTTGAATGGTTAATTGCTTTTTTATGGAGGAAGGGAAAGTCATCTATTGATGATAAGGGAGGTTATTGCGTTTGTTTTTGTGCTCATACTCTTGTCTAAGGGGTAAAAGAACCTCTGTAATGGAATCAAGCAGTTGTAGTTTTTGATATCTATTAAGTATTTGTTTTAGATAGAGAGAATATTGGTTGAATTGCTTGTTGAAAAATTGATAGTCTTTTTTAAACACAGCTACTTTCAGATAATCTGCAGGTAAACTCTAAACAAATTCGAGTCACATTTTCATTTCATTTTTATCTGAGATACAACCTAATTTATTGGTGATTCTAGCATTGCTTTTCAATATAATTTTTTTTTTTCAAATGATTAGTGAGTTGCTTGCTGCATTGGTCTCTTTGAATACAGGAAACTGCAACTAAGTTTGAGTCCTTTCCTTACTGTCTATCATTTTGAACAGAACTCATGTAACTTTTACTCCTGGAACAGAATTTATGCATAAATCTTGTGTACCCCATTCATGGACTGTACACATAAACTTTATAGAATAACTTGTTAAAATAAATGGAAAAGAAAAGGAAATTTGAGGAAACTGACACATAAAATTAAGAAAAAGAAATTAAGACGTTAGTAGGAGAAACAATTGAAACAATTAATACATGATTTTCTGCATTAATGCATCATTTTTTGCATCATAATTAAAACTATTGGAAATCTTTTATTGGTCAAGGTATAGATAAGTTTTATAAACTATTGTAAAAAAAATTAGAAAAGGGATTCGGCAGTAACCCGCGCAGAAAGTTAAGAGAGAAATGAACAAAGATATTAGGAGAAACAAAGTTAACAATATGCATTTCTGCGACATAATTCTACTGCTGGAAATATGCTTATCAATTGAAGAAGGACGCTGAAAATGTATTGGGGGATGCAACCAATGCTCATAGCTGTCCATAATCTAAGAGGATCCGAGAGGACTATGTTTCTAGGAATGAAACCAATGCGATTATAAGCGTACATGATCGAAAATTTATCTCATACCTCTTTCAATGGCTTGTTTGGTGCATGGGTAATGGAATGAGGGTTAAACTTTAAAAAGGTAATTGTTTATCCTGGAAAAGTTATCAATGGGAAAATTTCTTTCTATTCTTGTGTTTGGTATGACCTAACAAAATGGATAATATTTCAACCGTTAACTTTTAACCCCTTTTGGTATGAGTATTGACATCTCTTTTTCTTTTTCTGGTACATGTTTGTGTTTTCTTTGTGGGGAAATTTGCAAAATAGACCGTTTTTATAAAGTAATTAGCGAAATAGATCACTTTTGAAAGTAATTAGCAAAATAGACCTCTTTATAGCAAAAGAGGTCGATTTTGAAAAAGTGGCTTCAGAAAACATACGGGACTACTAGTCCCGTATATTTTCTGAAGCTACTTTTTCAAAATCGACCTCTTTTTGGCCTATTGGCCAAAAAGATGTCTATTTTGCTAATTACTTTCAAAAATGATCTATTTCGCTAATTACTTTATAAAAACGGTCTATTTTGCAAATTTTCCCTTTCTTTGTTGAAGGGTGTTGGGATGCATCTATAGCAAAAGAAATAGAGTGGAAATAGTGAAGTGTGGAGACTGTCATTCTTGCTCAGCTTGTCATAGCCACCTAATTAGCACATTGCCCAATTCGTCGTGCAATCCTTCCTTAACATTTCTGTCATCTCCAAAAGCAGTCCCTATCTGTGTAATCCACTTCTGGTTACTTTCCATAATCATCCCCATCACATTCTTAATTTTTAATTAAGCATATCAATTCCTCTATCCTTTGTGAGTCTCTTTTTGCTACTCATTTTTTTATTTATAAACCTCGAGTGTTAGAAGTACCTGCATCAGAAGCCTCATCCTTTTGTTTGCCCAGAAGCCTCATGAGTAGCGGGAGTTTTGATAATCACATTTTTATTACAATTATATACCCTCGTTATCTATTTTTAATGAATAAATATACCACTAATAACTGTTTTTATCTTTAATTGCATGTTACTGAAGAATAAAAGCCCAAGATCATTTCTCTCAACAAAAGTCCTAAAGAATTAATGATGAATACAAGTAACAAGCCCAAAAGTCCAAGCCCAAAAGCCCAAGGAAAAGAAAAGAAATTGGATAGATTTTGACAAGCTATCGATGCCAGCATCGATAGGGGCATTGATGCTAGCATCGATATTGGCATCGATGTCAGAATGCGCAGAATGCTTTAATGACTGATTTTTGTTGTCTTGAAGCCCAAGTTTGATCCAAGGGCTCTCATTCATTTCTGTTTACTATAAATAGGGGTTGAGAGTGAGTGGCTGATGGTGTGAAAAATTTTGTAACTCCATTTGGAGAGGAGGGTTACTCTTAATTGAGAAGACCTTCCAAATTTAAATTTTGTAACTCCATTTGGAGAGGAGGGTTACTCTTAATTGAGAAGACCTTCCAAATTTGTAACTTTTTGTTACAATTTTTGGAGAGGAGGGTTACTCTTAATTGAGAAGACCTTCCAAATTTGTAACTTTTTGTTACAATTAATAAACAAATTTTTTCACCTCTTCATATTTTTCTTTTCTTCTCTTTATTTTGATGATGAAGATGAAGATGGAGATAAAGATGAAGATCAAGAGTGATGTTTGTTTTCACCTTGAAGCTAGAACCCTCTTGGGATGTAAATTTTTTCATTGTTAATATTTTTATCTTTCTTGCTTTATTTTCTTGTTTAACTAGCCAAGAGGCTAGAACCCTCTTGCTTTAGATTGATTTCCATGCTTATAGAGTGGATTTACTTTCATGTCTTTATTTTCTTGCTTTAAATTCTCGCATTTAATTCTTACAATTTATTTTGTCGTTTAGTTCTTGCAATTTATTTTGTAGTTAGATTTTATTTTCTTGCACTATTTACCTTAAGGCTAGATCCCTCTTGGGATTAGTTTTTTTTTTTATTTTTTATTTTTTTTTCTGATTCACCTTGAGGCTAGAACCCTCAAGGGAATTGCCATTTTTCTTTAGATGTGGAGTTAATATTTGTAGGAATTTTAGAAATTGCATGAAACTAGCTTTATATCTTTTATATGATTGTTAATCATTCTTTATTGCTTAAAATGTTAATGTTTAGGATATTCAACTAAATAACTAATTGGTAGAAGGAATTCTAGAATTATAATTTTGTTGTTATTCTTTTCATGAGTTATAATTTTACTTGGATGATAATTTTATACGTTATACTTTCCTTGAGTGGCTTGATAATCTATACTTAATAAATCTAAAGTGGAATATGATAAAAAGAGAATGATTCATATTTTATGAGTGAGATTAGCTTGTGGATTCAATTCTAGTATATCTTTAATTGAATCCTCCATCTTTTCTTTCTTGATTTTTTCTTTAATTCTTGATTTTCTGTTATTTGTTTCTTGATTTTTATTCCTTAATTTTTCTTTCTTTCCTTGTGATTTTATTTATTCTTTATCTACCACTCTCAATATCATTTTATGTTTATTTACACATAATCACTCTCACTCTCTCTATCTCTCCACAATCACATTTATCATCACTCCTAATTGTCACGCACACAACATAAGAACTGAATCTAATTTTCTCTTACAAACACATTTCTCATGAGATCAATAACTTTTTATATATACTATAACTTGATTGGTTATGCATTTGCAACTTTTGGTACATGTTTATGCCCCCATCAAGTTTTTAACGTCGTTGCCGGAGAATGGTGTTAAGTTGGATTTTAATTATTTTGGTTCTTTAACTTGTGTGTTTTCTTGTGAAGGAACCGCTTGGAGTTTGAATATTAAGGTTTGAAGATCAAGGATTTGAGGAATTGCTTAAGGTTTAATTCACATTTTGGATTTGCTTAAGGTAACTCTTCTTCCTAGTATTTTCAATTCTACCCTTTAGTTAGTTCTTCACAATCAGAGGCA